TAAACTGGTCATTATGTTCACTTGTTCTTGTGTATTGAAATAATGTGGTATGTAACCACAAACATTCAGATAAGTAACAATAGTGAAGAAATCACAACATTAGAGACCTTCATGCAAAAATAATTACCCGAAGAATTTCCTGGTTTTTGATTATAAAAGCAGCTCATCATCATCAACATAGGACTAGGCATTACTGCATAGCGGTCCGAGTTGCCACAGCTCATATCAGTGCATCAAGTAAAACGGCAGTGAAGTGGAAGATGAAGAAAAAACTCAATCAAAAGAGATATAAAGTACGAAAAGGGAGAAAGGAAGGATGAGAGAATGGTGGGATTCGGTATAATGTTAAGACGAGGATAATGTGTGTATACATCTGTGCCACTGACATCGGTTCTGAGCGATATCACCTAGAGGAGTCTGGAACCACTGATTTCTGTTTTCGCGTGGACCCTAACCGGCTAGTCTGCATCTCCTCACATGCCTCAAGCCAACAGTCAGAGACCTCATACATTGATGTCATGTTTTAGTGTGTCCACCTTGTGCCTTTTTCCAGCCTGAACCTACTTCTGCCAAGATTGTGTGACGAGGCGGACGGTGACTAGGCATACGTAACACGTGTCCCAACCATCTCAGTCGATGAAGGTTGACAAGCGTGTCAACTGACTTATCTCTTCTACCTAAAACTCTACACCTGACTTCTGCGTTACTCACTTGGTGACATGACGGAATACGGCGTATACTATAGAGTTAAGGGTGATGAAACACCTGAAGCCTTGTATGTTTTCCACCTTGAGTGACCATGTTTCATAGCCATACAGTCGAATAGAGTGGACTGGTGTAGAGTACACGTGACCCTTAATGGTTAATGGGATATCAGGGTGGCGCCACAGGTGGCTTGAGTTGGCAAAAGCCAGTTGAGTCTTTTGTATTGTTGCAGAAATTTCGTTGGCCACTGACTGAGCCACCAGAGTAGGGTTGATCCTATTTCCTAGGTAAGTGAAGTGGTCGACACACTCAGCCACTGTGTTGTCTATTGTTAGCCGCGGTGGGCACCGTTGAAGACCAATCCTTGAGCAAGAGTTTGGATTTGGGTGGTGATAAACGCATCCCAAAGATTCTGAAATTGCCACTGAAAGTGTTGAGAGGACTCTGGATGATGTCAGCGTTTTCACCTAACGAGACTATGTTATCTGCGTATTCTAGGTGTAACGAATATTCTGGTGTGATTAGGTTAACCTCTGTGTATTCAGATGACGATAGGGAGGCCTCCATGTGAAAATCTATGATGAAAGTGAATGAGAGTGGAGATAGTGGACAACGTTGACGGACGCCACTTAACGAGTACAGCTTTCCGGATATCTCAGTAGTCTGTAACACTCCCACCAGTGTTCTAGTAGAGTGCCTTCAATAAGGTGATGTAATTGCTCGGCATGCCTTTGAGTGAGAGAGTCAATGAGAGACCAGTCAGAGGTGATCGTATTTGATTCGCATATGCTGGTTAACACTTCCGTTAACAGGACTAAGAGCACCTTACCACCATCGTTGTATACCTCAGGAGTTAGTCCATGTGGTCCTGCTGCCGTTCGTCGTTTCATGTTGCCTACTGCTTTCTTGACTTCTACAAGTGTTGGTGGACCTATCTCAATGTTGCATTCATGGTTTGACTGGATAGCAGGGAGCGCAATGGAGACTGGAGGTGATTTGAAGTGTTCGTCGAAGTGTTGTGCCCATCGTTCCAGTCGTCTCCCCTGTGAGTGAATTGGAGACCTGTTTTTCTCCTCTATAGTCTCGCTAACTTTGACTTTTTCCATCAGTTTCCTTAATAATTCTAAATAACTGTCTACGGTTACTAATCGGCACTGCCTTTCGCATCTCTTTAGCGTTTAATTACGCACCACTGTTCGCGGTCGTTGCGTAGACTTTTTCTCAATCTGCTTTTAAATTGCGCTTGCTCTTCATTGTACTCAGAGCCTGCAGGATGCGTTCACGTGCATGCAATAATTCGGAAGAAGCTGCTGATATCCATTGGCTCTTTTCAGCCACTTTCGTAGTCGGCTACGGTCTTCAGCGCTGCTTTTACCGCAGACCGGAGATGGCACGAAGCTTCTTCTGGATGAGTGATAGTCTTCTGTTCCTATAACTGCCTAGCCAACTTCTCACTGAACACAGCTTTGGCGTTTTCGTCATCCAGCAGCACTCGTAGTAGTTTTGTTGCCAAATTTTTCTTACGTTCATTGAGATGCAGGCATATACGCACTTAGACCAACGTGTGATCGCTATCCAAACACGTACTCCAGAAGGAGTGGCAGTCTTCCACTGATCGTCTCCAGCGATAACTCATGGCAACGTGGTCTATCTGTGTTCAGCGCTGAGTTGAACTTGGTGGACGCCACGTCAGACAGTGTCTTTCTTTATGTTTGAAATTTGTGCTAGCTGGAAATAGGCGATTATGTGAGCACAGTTGTAGTAGGCGATCACCGTTATCTGTACGTTCAGCAGGGACTTCGAAAGTGCCACCTAAGTGCTTTTCTGCTTCACTCAGTCTACCCACGTGTGCATTGAAGTCACCTGCAACAACCACCACGTCCGAACGTTTGACTTTGGAGAGGAGGCTAGACAGTTTTCGGTAGAACTCGTCCTTCACTTCATCCGAACTACAGTCAGTGTGTGCTTAAGTAGAGATTACGAAGAGATAACGACGAGTTTCATTACTCCTTTTAGTTCCCACTGAGCCATTCAGCTGGACAGAGCAGAGGCGACTATCAACTGGGATCCAGTCTTGTAGTGAGTTTTCTGCCTTAGTGCTTAATGATATGCCTACACCTGCAAGACCGTGAGAGCTAGCCATCAAATCTCCAGAAACTCGAAGAGTGAATTTTGGGGATTCATCGGATTTGCCAGAAGATGTTAGGTGAATAACCGCACTTGGGTCCTGTATGCGAGTCTCACAAACACAGCGCACATCCATGGACCGAGTTGCTAGAGTCTTTGCCAATGAAACCTGTTGACCAACTTGACGGAGGATGTGGACATTGAAGGCCCCGATGTGCAATTTGGAGTGTAGTTTAAGGAGATGAGGGATGCTGTTCTGTGGATTCAGGTCGTTGTCGAAGGCTGCAGTGGTAGGAGAAATTGAAGATGATGTAGTATCGTTAATTGAGAGACATGAAGGAAGATAAGAAGGTAATGATGAGGGAGGTGAATAGCAGTCTGAAGAAGCTTGAGTGCCGATCGAGTTGTGTGGGCGGTTGACACTTCTCGACTGCCGACACCCGTGGGAAGCTATTTCTTCTGAAGGTGCCTGAAAGCGATTTGTGTGACCGCAGAGCTCATCGGTCACATGCTTGAGGCCTGTCACACACAGCCTTTTGTGTATGATTATTTTGAAGTTTTGTTGTTTTGGGGCCGGATGGTCGGAAGGAAACGACAAATGAACCAACGCCACCGGCCCGGCAGACCATGGGGTATGGTGGGGTGTGTTATTTTTGGGGCCGACCTTTTCTAAGCCCCTTCCACTGAGAAACAGCATCAGCATGGCACTGCTAGTCATCGGAGGAAAACACCCTACTACTGTCACATCCCATTCAGCTAGCAGTGGTACGACTTCGCCCTCAGACCCCCATCATAGTGTAGTAATTTACAGCACAACGGTAATTGCTTTTCGTCTTACTACTATCCAACAGACCTTTCTGGTATGGTAGGACCTCGAGGGAACAGTGTTCCACCAGCATAGCTCGTTGGGTCATTGTGATATGCAAGCCTGACCACCACTTCAAGGTAGCAGCTATCGGTTGGGAATAAAAGCAGCTCGAGAAAAGGGATTACAGTTAAGATAAAAGGCCGACGTGTATGGATGTAATCTTCGAAAAAATGTGACTATTAAGTCACTTACTATGAAACGCAAAACCATTATCAGCTGAACTTTTTTGGACACTCGAATTTAATGCTCTTTATGTGATACGAGTGCAGACAAAAGATAAGTTATTGAACATGATCGGTTGCATGCATGTTTATATAATTTGCCACTGCTGAAGAGACATACGTAGGATGGAAAAATTGAACACTTCTGTAGCCGCTTTCTTGAACATCGTCTGGCGTTGTTGGGCAGAAGGATAGTAGTCAATGAAAAGTTTATGACTGATCCATCAGATTGGGGGGTACATTGCACCTTTAGCGTTTTATAAAGCGTTCCACTGTATTCGACTGCTCGAAAACTAAATACTCAGCAACCATGTGTATATTCGTGTAGTAGGCAATGAGTACACCTACTGTATGACGGCTAGTTATACTACCTGCCTGCCCAAACCTATAAGCCACAGCTCCACATTCGACTACTAAACTGTAGCAGCAGCAGCACTAGCCATGAAAAATTTCCAACGTTTACCAAAATACAATCAATGATTTTCTTTGTTGAACAAACCAGATAAACGAAAATGTTTTTATTTGTACGGTTATTATAATATTCAGTTTTTAATTTCATCTTACTTTTAGTTTCATGGTCTATCAAAAATTCGAAGATTTTACTACCTAGATGCTATACGACAATGAGTTTTTCCATTCTGCCTCACTCAATCTCATTCATTACAGTTAGCCATGAAGATTATGTAAACATTTGCATGGTTCTGTGGTCATCATCTTTATTGTCTTCTTATTCACAGACTAGAAACCAAACTATACCAACCATAACTACTTCAAGTGCTTATGTTGAATGATTTTTATGTGTAAGACCTGATAAACAATCAACCAAAAGGGGTAATTACTTGAATATTTTTCTTAACTGTCATGATGAGAACATTTAAATTATTATAAATGTATTGTAGATCTCCAGTTGCATAAAAGTTACAAGCAATTCATTATTTACGGATTTTTTTTTATCGAGGAAATTTGTAGTTTTATCCCTTAGACTATTCTTATTTCTTACAACAATATTTTTGTTTAACAATTAGGTCGTCGAAGCAATTACACACGAATAACTATTGGTCAATATATCAAGTTTTCCAATGCAAGAAACAGGCATTTTAAGCACATCTTTATCCCAAGCATCTCAACCACAGTTATGGTCTCCCATCAATCCAGTAGCTCATCAAAAGGCCACAACCTCTACTCAGTCTCTTTTCAGCGCTGATATTTTGGCTTCATCTGCAATAGCGACATCGCAGCCATTAGCATGTTCTTCACAACCTGTCACTCTTCCATCTAGTCAATCAGGTCAGACAAATACAGAACCACCAATAGATGATTCTCTTGTATCTGATTGTTATGCTTCCCTTTTGGGATTAGCTGAAACCTTTAGGACAATGAGTCCTCCTAATATGCGACTTGCTGTTCATTGTTTAAAAGCTATCCTCCAGTTCAAACTTTCTGTTAATTTGGAAGCTCGAACTCACTTGCAACTTGGACGACTATTGTTTCATTACAGTAAAAGTGATGATCAAACTAAATTCCACTTGGAGAAAGCTCGTACTTTGGGAGCTCATCTGAAAGCAAACGATGATTCTATTAAATTTGAAGCTGCTGTATTACTAGCTGAGTTCTTTGAGAGGAAAGTAAGTCTATCATGCAGAGGAAAAAAAATTGTTTTTACATCATCATACCAAAATTTTGTTTTATAGGTGTCATAACATCTAAAATATGAATTTGTTGATTATAAATTAGTTATAATTGTCCTAAAAACAATACTTACTACAAACTTCTCGTTCGCTAACCCAACGTTGGTTGAAGAAAAAAACCCGAGAGGTTTTCGAAAGCTTTTTCTGTGGAGTATGAGACTCTTTGATAATGCACACTGGCCTTTAAGACTGTTTACCTGACGTCTATGTATCACAAGGAGACATTTCAGTTTTTGTTCACTTGTATGGGTTCTTCATATTGAATGTGAATGCCTTTCCTTATCACTAACTTGGTTGATTGAGCATTTTAAATTCTCAATTTAGCCTGATAATGGCATACGAACTTACAAAATTAGGTATAAGCCATCCCTGTTGTGTATACATATGTGTATGTGACATCATCTAGTTGTCAAAAAGGATGTCTGAAGATAGCTTTAAACCCATGATAGCAAATATTGAGTACTGGCACCACTAACCTACAGCTGTCGAATACTACCGAGTGTATTACATTTTTTGTTGTCATATAGACTTTTCTCTTATTTTCTTAGGGTAAACGATATGAAGCAACTTGTATTCTGAATGATGCTATCAGACTGTCAAATAATAATCCATACTGGCACTGTCGAATATTACTGGAATTGGCTGTAAGTTTTGTTGACGTTACGATTTTCAGATAATTTTATACCCATATCACATAACTTTACTGTTGTTTGCTTACTTTACTCTTGTTGACCTGATTGTTAGGGAGTTCGAATAGTTTATCAGCTTTTCGTTAGCAGAACAGTTTGTTATGAATGATTTATTTAGCATTTGCAAACAGCATAAACCTAATTAGTATTCTTACAAATTCTCAATGAAGTGTTTCTCTACTATATCCCTACTTTTTAGCAAGCCCATATTGCTGAACGAGATGTAAATTCAGCTTGTGAAATCTTGGCGATGGGTTCTGAATATGCGCGTCTACACAATTCTGATTATACGAATGGTCTATTTCTGTTGAGTAAATGCATGGTCAGTTTCATAGATTGTAATTTCAACTTATTTTCTGTCTAAAAATTTTATGTTAACGAGTTGGCTGTGTTTTAGATGTGCTTGAAATACATCAGGAAATCTCTAATGCTCAGTAAAAAATAAAATAATCTACCGTTTTTTATAACTTTGTGTAAGCTGTTCTAGTTCCTTAGTCGACTCGTATCAAGGTTTGATGATGCCGGTAAGTTGGTTGGTTAACATGCAAGTGTTTGCTGATAAAAGCTTGAATAAATACAGCATATTATATCAAATATCTACAATCATCCGTAAGTTTTGACCACCGTGTTTAAAAAGAGGGTATTGCTTATCTACAGTTTAGGAAAAGATGCTATCTTGGTCTAAATAATATTTGGTAGCGCCTAACGCTAAAATTCAAAACATCATCTTTATCTGTTCGCCACTCTCTAGCTGATCTTACCGTAGTGTTTACACTGGGATTCGAAGCTGACATCTGTTTAATAGGGTAATTATTTGCAATAAGAAACGTTTGCGAATGAGCATAGGTATAAGTTCTTTGTCAGTGCTGGATTGTTACAGAAAATGGATCGTCCTGCTTGCACATGACTTTATGGATATCATTTATTGATTACATACTCGTATTAATTGGTGATATCTATTTCTAAGATCTGGAACACGTGTTTCTTTCTACCTCGGACGTACAAAATGAGCGTTCCCTCTTTTAACGAAACTGAAACTCAGCACTTGAAAGTTCTATTCTAGACTACACGATCAGTATCATATAAGAACAATATGATTAAATGAGCTCCCAGATGAAACGACAGTTTTAAAGCGATATAACATCTGTTGGAAAGCAGTGGATAGTTATAAGACTGAACAAAATCCCTGAACAAAAAAAGAAAAGATATTTCTCAAAACGAAACAGTTGAGGACCGAAAACTGTCATCTCAGAATTCTTACTGTTTTAAAAACAACATATCATGTTAAGTTAGTTGATAGCTTACTGCAGTTATCTTAGTTGACGAGGTTAAACTAATCCGAGCAAAAACTTCTGGTGTCAATCAAAGGAAAATACACCAAAAGTAGAGAGTAATCAAAATCAATCTAACCCAATTTTTGATTGAAGGTCCTTGCTACAAATTATGTTCAATATTTAAATAGAAAACAGTTAAAAGCGACCTGAGCACAACTAATATCAATCCGTCATCCAGTCAAAAATATTTCAGCTGGGCAAATTGAGAAGAAACGGACGAAAGTCAAACATACCAAACTTCTTTCATTATGTTGATCCTGAAGAGTGAAAATAATTGGTAATAATAATAATAATAATTCACTTTATTCCAAATAGTCTATGGAACAATTTGGAATTCTCAGCATGATATATTGCAGCAACAACAAAACATAAGTATATACATACTCCTTTACAACATTTCGAATTGTTTTATTATAAAAATTTAAGTTATGTAAAGAATATTAAAAACGAGAAAATTTTACATTGTTAGTTGAATTATTGAAATTGGTTTTTTAACTGTTACAAAGTTGATGTGTGATTTCCGTTCTAACACTTTTTTCGTCACAAAATATGCGTGCTAGGTAAGGTACAGTGGAATTCTTATACTTACCTGTACGAGCACATAGTCTTATGTAGTTTCTCTTTGTCCTCCCTGACGAGATACATGGAGAGAGCTATGAATGAAGTGGATGCTCATTGTCAGTTAAAATTTCTGTAGCTAGTTGCTTACTAGAATTTAAACGTCTATCAACTACAGTGTTAATCAGTTGAGCCACAAGCACACCACTCATCCTGCTGACGGCTTTCGAAGCCCTATGCAATATAATGTAGTTCTTTTTTAGAAGACCAGTAAAGATCAATGGGGAACAATATAGAAGAATAGGTAAAATGCAGGAATTAATAAATTGTAAAAGAAGAGATTGAGTTATACCAGAGAGCCTCAGTTTCTTTATGCAGTAAGTTAACCGGAAGATTTTTTTACAAGTCAAGAAAATATGAGATGGCCAATAAAGATTAGAAGTAAAACTCAACCCAAGATAGTTAACACTCGATTTACTGTCTGCACAAGTACCATCAATGGAACAGGCGTCGTGGGGCTTAAGCAGCTCACATAACTCTTGTTTACGCTTGAGGCTACAATTAATAGTCTGACATTTAGAAGCGTTTAACTTGAGACCATTGGCCGACTACAGACAAGAATTCATTGAATTTAGAGCAATCTAAGTGAGAGTTAACTGGAATAGACACCGTCAGGTCATCAGCATACTTAATAAAATTAGTTTCAACAGAATAAGCTAGATCATGCAAAAAAACGGAAACAGAAAAGGAGGAAGTATAGCACCTTGAGGCACACCAGCTTCAGTAAGTAATGAAGTCGAGAGCTTCCCTTTATAGACTGTGTACTGTTTTCTTTCAGAAAAACATGAATACAGCCACTTTGTAACCGAAGACTCAGTATGAGCTATGGCGAGCTTATTTAACAAGAGTGGTCTACGAACAGACTCAAAGGCTGATGCTTAATCCAAGAAGGCACAACGAACATACTTAACACCTTTGTTGAGACTAGAAACAATATTATGATGCAAGACAGTGGCTGCATCTAAAGTACTCCTCCGGTGTTTGTAAGCAAACTGTTTGGGATCTCTGAAAGCCATCAATGAAGGCTCAGTTACACGGAGAAGTAATTTCTCCGTTGTCTTCAGAAAGGGGGAAGTTTATAGCGATGGGTCGAAAAGTAACATCCGATCTCTCACTTACTGTTCGGTGCATTTAAGTTTTATTTCTACAAGTACTCATATATAATAAATCAATTGTATTTCCTTGTGAATGTGTACTAAAGAAGATATCTGGAGTGAAATTGAAGACTACCCACAAAAACCTTAAACTGAAGAGAAAGATAGCTACCGGTATATGAAAGACTTTCCGAATATATACATAAGTTATATTCGCTAATACACATTTCTATGACATATAAGCTATTTTTTCAAAGATTGTAGGTAGTCACTAGGCAATTCTGCTTGACTAAGGACTTATCAGTGAGGTATATATATCGCGATCTCATCGAGACTAATACTGCCCCTTTGATTCGTACCTATATTGTTCAGCAGTTCGATCAGAGATGTTATTATACCATAGTCAATAATATTTCTTCTCTGATAAAAATCGTTTACTTATTCATGAATAAACGGGTATATTTTATCAGTGATAGCTGTCGAAATTCTAGACACATTTGTTAGTATACTGATAGTGTGGATATCTCATTGCTGATACAAAAAAGACTCATTGGTGTCATAACTTCTATCTTGAGAGGCGGGTACATCCAACTGACAAGTCCTAAATATAACGAAATGGGCATGTTGAATTTCTCTTCTAGTCGATGTCCATCGTTATTGTTCAAAGGATAATTGTGATGTTTTTAAATGTTAGATTTAATAAGCAGCTAGATATCATAGTGATTTTAGTAACGCGAGCTTTTACGTTGAACTGAAAGTTATACTCCTTAGTATTTCATGGTGTTCCGCTTTTATTTATCATCAGTAGTTTTATTTTTACTTAAAGTTATTGTTAGCCAGTAGACAACTACCTGAAGTCACTGCCACATTAACTGCTGTCAGCCGATTGATTGAACAATTCAAAGGAACAATGTATCATCGTGAAGCTCTACGTGTATTCTATCTTGTTCTACATGTGTCATTTTATCTTATTTCTGGTCGAGCAAAATCTGCACATCCAATACTTAGGCAATTGCATCAAAGCATTCAACAATTTGCTGCTATGGATGAAGGTAACATTTTGTTTTAACTAGCTTTATAAAAATGTCGTACTTGATCTGTTCATCAAGAATACCCTACGTCTCAATAATTACCCACCAAAATTTATAAATAAATTCATAAGAAATTGAAAGAAAAATATTAGTGGTAGTAGTAATACAGGTGTTATTAATAATAATCCCACTACTAATGGTAATAATGGCGACAGGGTTAAGAGAGAATTCAAAACCTCTACTGTGTTACCATACAAGGAAGGCACCTCAGAAGCATTACGAATAATTCTCAATAAGACTGGGATTGAAATGGCATTTAAACCAACAAACTCACTTAGAAACAAGCTTTGTAGGTTAAAAGATCCTATCGATGCAATTAAGCAAAATAATCTGGTTTACCAAATCCCTTGCAATGATTGTAAGGTCAAGTACATAGGTCAAAGCGATCGACCAGGGTCGATTAGAATAACAGAGCACAAAACCTTAGCTAAATCAAAATTAGTATATATCGTGCTTGACTTCAATCCATCATTCGTTTTGTCAATAATCCTTGGGTTTACATGTATAGTTTGATTTGCAGTTAAGTATTTCAGTTGTCGTCCTAGGTTAAAAAAAAGTAGTTTGTAGATAAATCAACTCTGAACAGTAAACACCTTCACTACCATCTCAGTGTGAATAGTGATAATATCTTATCGCAGAGATTTTATTTCAGATTACTTCATACAAAAATTTCAGCTAGCATCAAAACATTCGAAAACTGAAATAATAAACGAAAATTTTTAAAAATATATTCTTTGTTTGACCGAGTGAATAACTATCAAGGCATATAGCTGACTCCTTTCCTCGAAATAATCAGTTTGTCATGCAAGTGTTCAAACTTTACTCTTGTGCAAAGTTACCTAATGTCTGGTGCGATTTCAGCCTCAGAAGTAGACGTCACTGTTATGAAATAACTGACCAGTTTCCTCTTGTAGCAAAATTTCTAGTCAGCACGTGGTTCTCGATATTTATGTCTAAAAATGGTATCCAGTACTTAACCTCTGGACTTCATCAACACTTTGTCAATTGAGATGAGAACGAACACATTAGTTCATCCTTTTGTCACTCAGTATCGACACATTTATTCTCGGACGTATTCAAAAAGGTACACACGAGATTTTGTAGAAAAAGAATAACATGACATTATTATTTCATTTTCCAAAATCTTGGATTATTTTGATCGTATCTCAAGAATTTTAAACAACATGCACTGAAAATTATAATTTGGTTTGATAACAATTTTATTCTAGAGAAAATTGTCTTCGAAACGTTTTATGAATACTCTTATTTTTACTTGATCATCATCATCATCCATCAACATAGGACCAGGCATTACTGCATAGCGGTCCAAGTTGCCACAGCTCATATCAGTGCATCGAGTAAAACGGCAGTGAAGTGGAAGATGAAGAAAAAACTCAGTCAAAAGAGATATAAAGTACGAAAAGGGAGAAAGGAAGGATGAGAATGGTGGGATTCGGTATAATGTTAAGATGAGGATAATGTGTGTATACATCTGTGCCACTGACATCGGTTCTGAGCGATATCACCTAGAGGAGTCTGGAACCACTGATTTCTGTTTTCGCGTGGACCCTAACCGCTAGTCTGCATCTCCTCACATGCCTCAAGCCAACAGTCAGAGACCTCATACATTGATGTCATGTTTTAGTGTGTCCACCTTGTGCCTTTTTCCAGCCTGAACCTACTTCTGCCAAGATTGTGTGACGAGGCGGACGGTGACTAGGCATACGTAACACGTGTCCCAACCATCTCAGTCGATGAAGGTTGACAAGCGTGTCAACTGACTTATCTCTTCTACCTAAAACTCTACACCTGACTTCTGCGTTACTCACTTGGTGACACGACGGAATACGGCGTATACTATAGAGTTAAGGGTGATGAAACACCTGAAGCCTTTGTATGTTTTCCACCTTGAGTGACCATGTTTCATAGCCATACAGTCGAATAGAGTGGACTGGTGTAGAGTACACGTGACCCTTAGTGGTAATGGGATATCAGGGTGCGCCACAGGTGGCTTGAGTTGGCAAAAGCCAGTTGAGTCTTTTGTATTGTTGCAGAAATTTCGTTGGCCACTGACTGAGCCACCAGAGTAGGGTTGATCCTACTTCCTAGGTAAGTGAAGTGGTTGACACACTCAGCCACTGTGTTGTCTATTGTTAGCCGCGGTGGGGCACCGTTGAAGACCAATCCTTGAGCAAGAGTTTGGATTTGGGTGGTGATAAACGCATCCCAAAGATTCTGAAATTGCCACTGAAAGTGTTGAGAGGACTCTGGATGATGTCAGCGTTTTCACCTAACGAGACTATGTTATCTGCGTATTCTAGGTGTAACGAATATTCTTGTGTGATTAGGTTAACCTCTGTGTATTCAGATGACGATAGGGAGGCCTCCATGTGAAAATCTATGATGAAAGTGAATGAGAGTGGAGATAGTGGACAACGTTGACGGACGCCACTTAACGAGTACAGCTTTCCGGATATCTCAGTAGTCTGTAACACTCCCACCAGTGTTCTAGTAGAGTGCCTTCAATAAGGTGATGTAATTGCTCGGCATGCCTTTGAGTGAGAGAGTCAATGAGAGACCAGTCAGAGGTGATCGTATTTGATTCGCATATGCTGGTTAACACTTCCGTTAACAGGACTAAGAGCACCTTACCACCATCGTTGTATACCTCAGGAGTTAGTCCATGTGGTCCTGCTGCCGTTCGTCGTTTCATGTTGCCTACTGCTTTCTTGACTTCTACAAGTGTTGGTGGACCTATCTCAATGTTGCATTCATGGTTTGACTGGATAGCAGTGAGCGCAATGGAGACTGGAGGTGATTTGAAGTGTTCGTCGAAGTGTTGTGCCCATCGTTCCAGTCGTCTCCCCTGTGAGTGAATTGGAGACCCGTTTTTCTCCTCTATAGTCTCACTAACTGTTGACTTTTTCCATCCAGTTTCCTTAATAATTCTAAATAACTGTCTACTGTTACCAGTTGTTAGCAAATTTTATTGATGCCTTAAGGTGATTCACAAACCAATTCCCATGGAAAATCATTCTTCCGCATGTTTATTTTGATATGCTGCTTTTTTATGTATGTGAACTGTAGTATGAACAAGCCGGTGGCTCGCAAATCCTCTGCGTGTGGGAGGTTTAAGGCTGAGACAGACTACTTTTTCCTAATGGATTGTAATTGTGTATCGACCAATTGCGACAGATGAAATCAGCATTGAACCACGCACCCAATTGCATTGGTTCAAGTTTCGACACTTCACAGTAGTATATTAAGAACAATTGAATAGAAAAAGACTGAATTCAAGGTAGACAAAGGTGTATTGGAGAAGAGGGAGTTGAAAAAATTAAGGTTTTTGGAAACATTCCAGCTGTACGAGACAAAAAAGAGTGAAGAGTTGAATTTTCTAGCTAGACCTTTTTTTACAAGCTTCTCTGCATAGTCTGAATTGTTGTCTATAAAACCTTAAGATCGAAGCGAAAAATATCGTTATGCATTGTCACTTGTAACTGGCATTAAAATAAGCATCGGTTTATGTTTTTGATGTTTTTCTCTTTAATTTGACAGCGGATAATGCTTCAACAAATGAAATTGATCGGTTTCATTGGATGCCTCGTGAACATATGGTCATATTAGTTTACCTTGTCACTGTTATGCAGTCAATGCAAGCTGGAATGCTTGACAGAGCTAAACGATCAGCTGAAAAAGCTCTAATCCAAATTGAAAAACTCTCTGTTTTCGATACTAGTCCATTACTTACTGTTTTTCATTTAAGTCTGCTGGAACATACTGCCATGGGTCGATTGGTAATGGGTATTCAGACAGCAGCTGCACAAGATATTGGTCAAGCTTGTAGGATATGTCAGGCAAATCCTGCACTAATGTATAAACGTCTTCCTCAGTTGCATACATTAATTGGTTTATATGCTATGTCAATGAACTGTATGGATCAGGCAGAAAATCAGTTTAAATATGCTCTTCGAGTAAGTCAAATTTTCTACCTTCTCCTTTGAGTTTTATGTACTATTTTTAGTCCGTTTTATCTGCAACATTTTCATCGATCTAAAATTGCAAGTTTCTTTTCGATCACTTCAGAACAGGGACAATCATACATATACTCAGATTGTTCGAAGCTGGTAAACTCTCTATCCTTACCTATATGGCAAGTCTATTTGGTATCCAAAGCACAGGCTACGGATAACAGGTCATAGGACATTTCGCTTTTACTCTAGACATGGTTAATAGTATCAATAAAATTACTGTATGACTTGATAATTTTAGTTTCCAAAAAAGAACCACTGAAAATAACGGCTTGTAAATGTGTCGCTTTTTTTCCACCAATCTTCAAAATCAGCCAAAGAAAAATTTAAACTTTCTATCAGCCTACTTATAAGTAGAAAGACTTTTCATTAAAAAGAAACACGCCAAACCAATGTTGAAATACATTTGGCTACGTATTTCTTGCTCGATAAACCGGTTCATTTGATAGATCACGAAATCAATCATTAGGTATGAAGATACTTATCAGTGAGCTGATTACTTTGTAGTGCACAGTTACTTCAGTTTTTCATTGAGATAGGAAAAAGCAATTACTGGAAACTAGTTTATTATAAACTACATAATGTAACATGTTTACATTATTATTCTGAATAATCAAAATTTCTTCTGGTAAAATTTGACCTAATTATTGTCTAAAAGGCTGATACAGAGCACAGTAATTGTCTGGCCTCTTTTAAAACTTGATAATTAAGTTTGGACGTTTCATGACTAAGTCCGGTGATTTCATTAACACTGCATAAAGAAGCAATGCATTTCCAATTCGCTGGAGAACTTATGTAGCATAATTTCTGACTATCAGGATTATAGGGTTGTGATTAACGTGTATTTGTCTTTTAAGGTGCTAGTCGTTTTGGTCTGAATTTTTGTTGGAGTACACTGTTAGTGTTAGTACGTGACATTTATTAGGTTGGAGATGAAATGTTCACGATTACATACCAAAGAAGGGGAAGCAATGTAGTGATATAAAAAGAGTCTGGACGAGGATAGGTGAAATGAGTTGGAGACAACGAAAGAAGCTGGAAGGTAATACAAATATGGAATGTACTGTTTATTATGGAGAGCTTTAATGTGAATTGACGACAACTAGTGGTGTTTGGCTGGCATGCCCACTGTCGCCATTTCTATTTAACTTCGTCGTAGACGTATTAGTGGACACGAGCTTAGTTTCACCTGACTTTAAAGGGATTGACCTACTTTGTGGAGGTCATCTGGTTGACTTGGAGTATCCAGACGATAGTGTCCTGCTAGGTGAAGACGCTGACGTAATGCAGGATCTTCTGGATGCATTGAGCAAACATCTAAGTATGTTTGGGAGAAATGCATTGTGCTGGCACCTGCCGAATGTAAGATAATGCTCCAGGACTAGTCTGCAACTACTCACAGTTTAACGATAGAGAGTTAAGTGGTGGAATATGACAACCACTTCACTTACTTGGGAAGCTGCATCAACCTGAAAGGCCATATTGTTGACAAATCTCAGCTTGGATACACAAGGCTTCTCGTTTACCATTTGCCAACTTGCATCATCTATGGCGCCGACTGGCAAGATATCTAACTGTCTATCAAAGGACGAGTGTATTGTACTAGAGTTTATTCTGTGCTGCTATACGGCTGTGAGATATGTTCGTTAAAAGTAGAGGGAATGAAGCGATTACAGGGTTTTGATCAGAGGTGTCCCCGTAGCATCGCTAGAGTTTAGTCGAATCACCGTGTGAGCAATGTTGAGGTCCGGCGAAGGGTACTAGGCAAGTTGGTCGATGAGTTTGTGAACCTTCATTGACTGAGATGGCTTGGGCATGTACCGCGTATGCCGAGGCACCTCCTTCCTCGACTTGCTGTGTTAGGGGGAGTTAGATTGGTTTTAAGAGGGTTCAGGGTAGTCAAATCAAGACGTAGTATCTGTCGGCGAGGTCCCTGACTGTTGGTTTAATCTGTTTTGGGAGATGTAGACTACTTGGTTGGGGTCCGCGAGACTAAAGGAATCAGTGATTGAGGACTCTAGGTAACATGGTTGTAATTCGGCCATAGTGGGACAGATATATTCACTCCTTGATATCTTCTAAAGCGTGAATGTTTGCACTAACCGCTTTCTTCAGATTATCTATTCTCTCACAAAACTTTGTTTAATTTTATATCACTTTTTTTCCATCCATTTCTTCGTTGTATACTGCTATGAAGTGTGGCAACTTGAACTGAAGAACTTGTGTTGAGGTTCTACGTTGATTTTGTCTGTCTGTCTGTCTGTAATGAGGCAGTGTTATTCTTTAAAGAACTATAGACGAGCTGGTGGTGTTAGTGTATAAGTTAAACCTCACTTATGGTCAGTTTATGACAGTGTCTGACACAAATAAGGAAATGCGTTTCTTTGAAGTTGTAATTACATTTTAAATCCCATGAAGATCAAGCAGTGCAAATTAAAATAAACCTTCTTGTTGACCTTATCTAAACATCTGGTATCAAATAAAAAGCTGCTGTACAAACCAGTCAGCTTTGAACACCTTTAGATCTTTTCCTCCTAGAGTGAATTCCCAGTACTGTCATCATTTCAAATCCCTCAAACCTATTCACTTTCCATTTATTTAAATAATCGTAATATACCTTTGGTTTCTTCAACAATCTGTTAATCTAATTCATGTAGCTTATCACTGGACCTCAGCAAAATATGGGTTGTCGAATCGCATCTGGGGATAAAAATCTCAGCTTAGTGGCTTCTACACGAGCATCTTGTCAACCAGAAGGACCACGTGACCCCTTATCTGTATTGGTTTGTCTCAATTTAGCTTTGGTGCATATTCGGAAAGGTAATACAATTGAATGTGAGGTGAGTACAATAACTATTTCATTTTAAATTAATATAAAAATATGCTTTGATGAAAAAAAATGGTGATATCATGTAGGAAGAAAAATGTTTATTTTTTCCTTAATTAACTGATCGAATTTATTGTTTCTAGATATGAAATAAGTGGCCAGTACTTTGCTACTATCCTGTAACCTTCAGACTGTTTTCTCAACTTATTCATATGTTAATATTAATAAGAACAGCACTATATCACCTGCGTACACCTAGTATACCAGGTGTTATCCTAGGATTAAGTTTATCCTTTTAAAGTTTCAGGTACGTGATATCATGTCCATTAGCACGTCTGTATCAAAGTTAAACATGAAAGGTGACAGCAAGCGTCCCTGCTGAGAATGAATAACTTTCTCAGCTCATAGGAAAGGGATCTCACAGAAAAATAGAAAATTTCTCTTCACCAAAGTTAAGTGGAAATGGTGACAGTGGACATCCTTGATGGATACGACTGGTTGTCGTCACTTGGGATTACAACTTCCTATAAATTCGTTCATGGTTTTATGAGTGTGAGTAGAGGACTTCGATCAGCATTACATACTTCCTTCAAAGTTGGTCACTGCCATAACATTTCTTGGTCGACGTAATCGATCTTCAGGTCAAGATATTTAAGTCTAGGGGGTCGGTCATCATCGTCATCAGGATGCTTGGTTTAATCAGTTTGCATTTTGTCTTCAAGCTCCATCCTTAATAAGAGAATAAACAACTAATCGAACTATCACTTATCTGTATCCTTGTGGGAAATCATCAAAGAATGCTGTCTATTTATCAACGAGTGGGGTCGGTTTGTATACCTGTACTCGAAAACGTGATGAAGAGTGAGGATCTGACCAATGCATCGTCGTTTAGGTTAAAAACCTTCCTGGTTTCCTGGAGTATGTTGTCTTCCACCTCTGCTTAAGCGCAGAAGTATGAACCTTCGGGTATTGGATACCGTGTCAGTTAAGTTGACCCTCCCGTGATTACTTTTACTAACCTTTTGATGTAGATTACCGGTTAACTGTTGTTACCGTTGTTTCTACGTCAGGTTTCATCAGGAAGAGAATTACTGTCACATTCTGTTAAATGCTTAGAAGTCTCATCTCCAAGTACGTGCTTGACGATTCTAGCACACAAACATACAAAAGATTGTTTTATGTAATAATCTAGATGCAAGTGCATATGCGCCTTTACTAACTCGTGATGGGAAGTCCAAGCATGTAATCCTAAAATAGTGACGATCTTCAACCAGTCCTCTTCAATGATGGGTGGTAGAGATATAAACTATCGTTCTTTATCACGATAGCGGTTCGGCGTTCTCTGAGCTACAAATCTTCTTCATCATTTCAAAATCTTTGTTTATAATTGGTTTAATACCGGCCAAAAACAAGTGACTTTCGAAACATAATTGTAGAAGGTGATCTCTTTTGTCAGTTTGTCAGCATGGAATACACTAGATAGCACTTGGTGATTGGTCACTGACCATTGAAGTCTCCCACTACTTTGATTACATGTGAACTATTTGCTTTATGTAACAAAATCGACAGATTTCGGTATGGCTTATCCTTTTTATCATCCGAACTGCAGTCACTGTTCGCATAGATAGAGACTACGAATGGTCATCATCGAGTGTCATTGTCTTTTCTGATTTGTACAGACCCATTTGGTTGAACAATGCAAATTTGGCAATCAACTAGTATGCAGTTGAGAAGTGAGCTTTTTACTCTGCTTACTTAATGCTGTATTTATACCAATATATTCACAGGAACTAAACATCGAACTCTCGGATACTTGTGAACTTCATTTTCGAATTGTCTATTTATCACAGCTCACTGATAATTCATAATGATTGTGTATCACTCTTCGTTTAACTACAAAATGAAAGGTAGATGCATATATTGATACAACTGTAGGATTGTACAACTGCATTAGTCTTTCTGTGACTACTGACAAAAGTTGATTTGAATACAGAAGGTTCCATCAACTTAAAAAGTCATGCCATAGCTTAGTACACTAGCTTTCAACCATCACTTTTAGTCTTCTAATTCATTCTTTACATTAACCGAAGTTTAAGCAGTTACACAACTAGTATAACTTATATCCAAGTCCTATCTGGCGTCATTTTTATTTTTTATTTCCTTGAAACACTTTTACCACTAAAAGAGTCGTTACTGAAGTTTTAGACATGAAGAGTTAACAGTTGCAGGAAGAATCGTCTAGGCAATTTTATGAACTTCTATTGATCTTGGTGACTAGCACAAGAATCTAGGGTGCACGTTTCGTCCCCAGTTGGGACTCGTCAACTGGATGCACCTGCACTCCAGTGAGTGGTGTTCTCCCCACCGAGGCTCGAACTCAGTACCTTCCGCTTCATATGCCGAACGCGTTGTCCGCTGCACCACTGGGGAACGATGGGTTCCTCTTGTGTAACAGCTGTCAGTTATTGTAATGATGCTTGTAATTTCGCGTTGCTATACAGGACCCAATTGCTCGACCTCTGTTGTGGAAATCTCGATACTGCTGGATATTCATGATGTTATAATGATCTTGGTGACTAGCGGAGGTCGATCAATTCGGCTTTGTATAGCAACGGGAAATTACAAGTATCATAATTTTCTGAACTATTTATATCACAAATAACTTTCACTTTGTATTTGATACTGGTGAACTCTAAACCCTGATTGTCTCTCCATGCTTTACACATTAAGCAGATTTTCAAAATAATATGTTTTATCTGAGTTTAATCAGTTTGCATTGTATCTTCATGCTCCATACTTAATAAGAGAATAAACAACTAATTGAACTGTCATTTATCTGTATCCTTGTGGGTAATCATCAAAGAATGCTATTCTATTTATCATTGAGTGTATTGACCTTCATTTCATTAATTATAATCACACAGGGATTATTAAATGAAGTCTTTACATGCGGTACACGTGTACTTGAAAGTTGTTATTGTCTTCGAGCTGCAGCAGATTATGTTCGAGCTTTTCAGGCATTTTATGAAAATAGACTTTTAGATGCAAAATCTTTTCTCCGTGAAACTGTACGATTGGGTAATGAAGAAGAGTTACATCGTTTATCGGCATCAGCTTTCATTACTATGGGTCAAATACATCTGAATGAACAAAATACAATTGTAGGTTTACATTTTTTAAAAAGGATTGTTTTGTTAACTAAATAACTCAATTTTGACGACTCAATACTTTATGTATCTCTCGACACCGTGATATGTTATAAATATACCTTGACTGACTTTAAACTAAGTTGGATAGGTAGCTAATTAAAAAGCCTATATAGTTTCTCAGTCAATTCTGTATGTGATAGTCATTGAAGGTGTAAGCGATATCAACAGGTTTTCGATTATAGTTGTCTTTCATGGAGTGGCAAATTAATCAGTGTTAAAGTTAAATGTACAGTGTTAGCCAAAAAAAAGTTATCTAGTTATTGAGATTATGAATATACAGTCGGACTATGGTCACTGCATCACGTTTTATGCATCTGGAACCTTTGTCTGTTCCAATACAAAAGACTGAATAGAGTGAGATAAGTCAAGGGTGGCTAAACTAAGAAGTGGTACCATGAAGTCATGATGAAATGCTAGTCTGAGGCCTTTAGGAGAATGTAATCTGTTTATTCGAGATCCTCAGAATGTTAAGACTAAAAGGTTTGGAGATTGTTGATAATTTATCGTAGCGTCTCAGATGTATGTCAATCTCAATTATCCTTGTAGACCTGGATCCTAATAATCTATACTTATTTGTTCACTTCTCGTATTATTTTTATTAATCTTACTGGTTTTTTTTTGCATTTGTTGATCTTTTATTTCCATCCTTTTGTGGAGTATGCTTGTTTGACTCATAGTACTTTTGGCGGTTCTTTCAGTTTGATCATAGAAATTTTAAGTGATCTCACATAGTCTCATCGATAATCAATGTTACACCTCCTTTCTAATTCACCTTGATTTGGATTGAGACAAGAAAATCTGTCTGCGCAACCAGTGTGGTGATTACGATGACCGGACAGTTAAGTGTCATGGATTTATGCGGCAACCGGACAAATTTAGGATCTAGTCAGCAGCTTAATCTTGTAGCTTAGTTGATAGAGTAGTAGACCGGTAACCCGGAGACCGGTGGTTAGGATCGTGCTACGAACCAGGATCACATTCAACCTTCATTTACCATGCTGTATAAATAATGAAACGGGTGTTTATGTACAAGTGTTTACTCTCATTCCGGTAGAGTTTCTTTTTTTCCCCTCTAATTACAATTCAACTCTGTACGAAAGCAAAATAAAGCGTTTGTTTACTAGGATATAAGCCATACGTAAAATAGACGGGTTTATGATAATACTCGGTCGGTCATTAGTAGATAAACTGTGAACTTTTGAACAGTAACACTTCTTTTGTCTTCGAAAAAGATGTTTGGTTACACTTTATACATTCACTTTATCTTTGTTAATTATCTTTCTGGTTCGTCGAAAATTGTAGCAGATGTAGCAGCACACTTCTTTCCTATTTTTTTTTCGGGTTAAAACTGTTTTTTAGATCTCATTTCTATTTCTAAAAGCAAGACAGGCGTTCATTAGCCTGAAACCAATGTGGAGATCTTCTGCACTCAGCATGCGGAACAAGATACGGATTTTCAACACCAACGTCAAGTCAGTGCTCTTGTATGGCTCAGAGACTTGGCGCGTCACGAAAGGCATTTCCAATAAACTACAGACATTCATCAACAACTGCTTACGCTCGCTGCTGAAGATCAGATGGCCAGAAAAAATAAGCAACAAGGAACTCTGGGAACGAACAACCAAGAACCTATCATGCAACAAATATGCAGGAGGAAGTGGAGATGGATTGGCCATGCACTGAGAAGGCCGACTGGGACATCACGCGTCAGGCCAGTTGCTCGAGTGGAACCCCGATGGGAAGCGACGAGTTGGACGTCCTAGGTGAGGGTGACATGGAGGAGGTCGTGCGAGGAGGAAATGAGAGGTTGTGGGCTGTCGTGGGACCAGGTTCAAAAGATCTCAGAGAACAGAGGTCACTGGAGGCGTGCTACTGAAGCCCTATGTTCCACTAGGAACCCAAGGGACTAATAATAATAATAATAATTTCTATTTCTATCATTAAATGCTATACTCAGTTGGCATGTATGTATGTACGTGTGTGTGTGTGTGTTCAAGCAGTGATCTTGTAGGAGATCAGTTTATCTTCTCATTGTTATAATGTTTAGATTTCTTGCAAATTATTGAAGATTGGAATGTTTTAAAAGTGGTTGTCTTTTCACTTTTCTACATTGTACATAATTTTATTCTTTTGCAAAAATCATTCACTTTCTTTGTGTGTGTGTGTATGTCTATTGTGTTGTGTTGTACACTTGGAACATTTCAATTATCTCTGACCTATAAGAGGTATATGTTAAACAGTCAATGCACATTCACTAAGTGTCATTTGTTTAATAGGCCAACAGCACCTTTAGGGTAGATGGCTAGTCCTTATGTGTGATGTGTATTTTTATTCTTCTTGTGAAGTTCTTTGTATTACCCTTAAGGTATCCATTAACCTTTCAGCTGGAGATTGTATATGAATATATTCAAAATGATTGACATATGAATGTCAGTCTGACCACTGCTACTGATGAATCTTCTTGTTGCCTTCGTTATAAATGTACAACTTTTTGAATGGTATCAAAAGATAAGTCCTATAATGTATTTCACCATTTTACAGTCTGATTGTTCTGTTAGGTTTAAGTTGGAGGGAATTCTTTTTCGAAAAGAGTGGTATTCATGGTTAACTTACTGAATCCCCATTACACACTATCTTCTTAATGCTTTAAATGTGACCTGGAAGAAAATCACCAAACAGCATAGTTTAACAGTGGATCATATTTCTGTTCGGCGGTCGCCTCTTTATGATGAATAAAAGTTAACGCACTGTGGTAGCTGCTTTTAAGTAATGATCTTTTTTGTCTTTTCTCAGGCTTTCTGATTGTAATGTTTTCATTCTACGCTTAAAGGTGGCAACTGTTTGACGAAGTGTGCACGTTGTTGATGGTGTTGGGCAAGCGGCACATTCTTTATAAATATATGCATTTCGGAATGTAACTCCTTATATCTAGTAGCAGTAGTAGTGGTAGTATTATATATAAGAAGTAATAAGGTGGGTTAAAATGCTGCCTATCTTATTGGCATTGTTAGTTCTCACGCAAATTGTGTTCTGGATGAGCCAAATATTAGATAGTCAACAAAGACTAACAATTGGGTGAGAACGTTTATGGTCACACTAAACTGCATCAATTTAAATTACCATATTTTGAATTAGTACCGGGAAATAGTTAACAAAATTGAAAGATATATGCAAATATATTAAAAGAATATAAGAAGAGAGAATCTGTTTAATGTTCTGAGAATAAAGTAAACGTACCTCTTCCATAATCGTCGATGTCGAAGTCTGCAACCATCGATTACTAGAATCTCCAAAACCTGAGTTTCTGAAGACTGAAACACACTTTTCGATAACTTCTCGAACTTGGAATTTTTCCGCCCAGGTTCTGTTGTATTCTGTTCGCAATGTATTGTGCTGTTGATTGTTTTTGACCAGCAGAGAAAGAGATGATCATTCAACGGTAATGTTAAAACGGGATTTTCTTTTTTAATAAGTGAGAATGGGTAGTGTAGGATATGAACGAGTGACTTCGGATGCATGGACTACAACTGTATGCGCGTCATTCCAATATTCTTTGAAATTCTCAATTCATACTTTATTTTATATCTTTTTGTACGCAATGATTCATAGCCTCTGTAAAGCTGCGACTCACTGGTCTAGATACTCAACTGTCATCCTATGTTTCATGGACTCAAACATCTCTCTTCCAAGCAAGGTATTATCACTGGTTCTTACGCGTGATTGCTGATTTGCATTGTATTTACATACCACCTACTCCATACTATAATACTACTCTTATTTCTTAGATAAAATTTTCCTAAATTTTTTCATCTATTTTTTTCCACAGGAAGGTCATAAAATGATATGTGCAGCTATTCATATAGCTAATCGACTACCTGATATAGGAATCCAGTTATGGGCAACCGCTTTGCTTAAAGGTGTTGCCAACCTTCGTGGCGATACAGAAGAAGAAACTCGTTGGTTTACAGAACATGATCGTTTCTCTCAAATTGTCATTCATGAACATATGCGTGCAGTTTCAGCACCGGAACATACACTCATAGAAGTAAGTTGCTTTTTTGTCTATTCCTGTTTTTCATTTGACTGTCTGAGACAGCCGTAGTTTGGTAGACTAGTGTTTATACTGGGTGAGGATTGAAGGTGAGATGAATATCTGGACCACAGCCGGATTCGAACCAGTAACTACCGGGTTACCGGCCCGGTGCTCTACCAACTGAGCGACAAGTTCCGACTGCTGACCAGATTTTTATTTCACTTCAATCACCAAGCGTTTCGCCAGACTTCCATGTGAATTCGTGATGCGTTACTGCCGCTTGAGTGTTATTCTTTCTTTATTCATTTCTTTGTATACTGTAGTGAAGCTTGTTAATTTGAACTGATGCACTTTTCTGTCAGACTCCGTAGTGGTCTCTCTGTCTTTATCTGTTTCAACCAGTAAAGCTCTTTAGTTCATTTTGATGTGTAATTTCAGCCACCACGTCAAAGTAGCAACTGTTTATTGAGTATTCCATACATTCATGAAAGAGGCTAAAACTAATCGAATCAGTATCCTATATGTGAAGCGAGAATAATTCAATACTTATTATTACCTTGAAGGAGAGGATGTATGAATATCCGGTAGTATCAAGGCATCCGTATAGGAACCCATCTGCCAACAGAGGTCGAGCGATTCGGCCCTGTATAGCAACGGGGAATTACAAGTAACAGACAACAACAACTCACACCTGTCGCACAAGTGATGGCTGTCGTGCCCTAGTGACCGTGTGGATAACGCATTTGGCGTTTGAAGTGATGCACACTGGGTTCGAGTCTCAGGGAGGAGCAAGACCGCTCGCTGGGTTAGAGGTACATCCATCTGACGAGTCCCAAACAGGACGAAATATGTCCTGAATTCCACTGTTAGTCATTAAGATTAATACGAGTAAAATGAATTTAAATTACAACAGCTGGTTTGAAAGAAGTGAAATATGTTCAAAATACTGTCTGGTGGATAATATCTTGTTACGCTGAGTTTGATGTATAATCCCTAGACAAATCTAACATCCGATTATTAGATATCCATTTTGAATGCAACTTTTTATGTATACTTGTAACTTCAAATGTATACAGGATTATTCATTTTACTCAATATTGTTTATTCCCTTCATTTTTAGTGGTTAGATGGACCTCTACCTGAACTTCAACTGTCGCATACAGTTGCATCCACTTCAGATACCAACTTAATATAATATGATCTCATTTTTTTGTGAATGCTGATTACTGCTCTCCCTAACAAAATCGTCTTTTTGGTTGGTGATACTCTTTCTACCTATTGCTCTCTGAAGCATATCAAAACATTTCTTATTTTGATGATAGAAGATCTATTTTCCGATTTTCACCAGTTAACACGCTATCGCCTTCGTGTTTTTCCTCCTCTCTGATTGTACTGCTTATTACTTTCAATATCATTATTCTTTTATTTCCCACTTTCATGTATAAAAAAATTCGTCATAATTGTTTTTCTAGTATACTTTACTCCCTGGCATATATAATATATATATATATATATATATATATATATATATATATATACGATGTAAACGACAGGGGACTCCTGTACCTTTTTTTAATGTTTCGATAATGTTATCATGTAATTTTTTCAATTATATATGGAAAAAATGTTTGTGAAAAGTATTGAAAAGAAAATATTCTATTCTTTCAAATGAGTGATCTAATTTCTAAATCTACAGTCATCATCTTGCTAGAGGTTATTGTTTTCGTGACAGTCGCGTAGGTAATATGTTTGAAAATCAATCACAGTTTGGTACAAATATGTATTCATTATTGAACTATCTTTATATCTTGAAAGCTGTTGGAACTGTAATCTTGTATGGATAGACATTGTGCGCTAAACTATGTAGTCTTTGACTTATGTACAGTCATTATTGTATTCGATTAAGGAGCGATATATAGAGTAGCATCTTGAAACCTGTTGAAATTCATTTAGGTATTCGTAATGCAGCGATAAATGCTAATTGATTACAACTGCTGTTTGTTTCTTGATGCCATGTGTTAAATTGGTGGCATCGTCCCATTTTTTTTCCTACCAGTCCTGGTGTTGGCAAGTAACACTTGATATAGAAGCTGTTTAGACATCATGCATTATATGTATTCAAGCCGCCGAAAAACATGTATTCGATGAATAATGTTATTCATCAATATCTAAATGCATCCCTGTATCTCACTAAAATTTTCATATAGTATCGTTAACAGTTGTAAACATTTGTTAAAAATTCCCACTTAAGAGAAGTGAAGTTTCATACAGTTATACGAGGACTGCTTTCCTCGAGAAATTGTATCCCTGACGTTTAAAATCCAGATGAAGCTGCTTCAGATTTATGCATGGAGTTTTTCTATACAAAGACTCATATAGTCTGTTACATTACTGTAACTAGCTGAGAAAGGAGATTTTTTGAGTACTAGTGTCTCACTCTCAGGCATGAATGTTACCATATACTCCTGCGCGTTGTACTTTGATGATGCGAATCACGTACTGTAATTCTAGATGCTGATCACCAACTTATTAAAACCATTCCAGTAATCTGTATGCTATTATAAGTAATAGTGTTTTTTATGTAGTCAAAAACGTGAGGTTTTTCTCCGAATAGCATATTCGAATCGCTATCACAAACTTCCCTGAGAACTTTCTTACGAGTGTCAATAATGATAGAGTTAATTTGAGTACACTTTCTAACTCTAATTTTGACGTGAATAGTAGATAAAAATGGTTATACTCTTTTACCCTTCATAAATTGTTTTTGTATGTCGAGCTTTTGTCGGTGAAAATGGAGCAATAATAAGTGTAGAGAAATATAGAATTTGAAGTTAGAGAAAATACAAATGGCAGGTCCTCCTCACTTGTTTAATTAATTTTGAGATATGTTGCGTAATATCTTTAGCTAATAAGTTTTAACATCATAAGAACTCCATGTAAGAAGTTTGAAATTTGTTATAAAGCTAGACTATCAGATAGAATATTACTTATGATGAATTTAAAAGCCACTAATTCAATGGTATAAAGTGGTTTCCACATGATAGTGGACAGTTTTGTCACATGTACTAATTTCAACGACAATGAAATAATATTTATGTCCATAACTTTAATCATTCAAGCAACATTCAGTAGAGGAACAAACAATATTTTGAGATGTTAAGTGTAGTAGACGTTGAGTTTTGACAGTAATCAAGGGGATAAGTGCATTTCCGGCAATTGAATTAACTTGTGCACAGCGTTAATTGTGATTACATCGCTTGGTTACTAAGTAATATAACTGTCTTTCCTCAGTGTGAATGTTAAACAAATCACTCATTACGGAACGTTACAAATGCATACTTTTTTTTAACACTGCATTCATTTTTCATGTAAATCTAAAAGGTACATAAATTTGGCTGAATGGAACTGACTATGGTCAGCCTCATTATTATTATTATTCCCTTGGGTTCGTAGTAGAACATAGAGCTTCAGTAGCACGTCTCCATTTCACTCTGTCCACTGCAGTCTTTTCAATCCAGCTCAACCACTGCCTACCTATAAGCTTTCATTTCTTCCTCACATCATCTCCTCCATATCACCCTCGACTCAGACACCCAACTCGTCGTTTCCCACTTGGATTCCACTCGACGGTTGGTGTGGCGCATGATGTCCCCAGTCGATCTTCTCGGTGTATGTCCAATCCAATCTATCCCCACTTTCTTCTGCATATTTGTTAGGCGATGGGTTGTTGGTTGGTGTGTTGCCAGCTAGCTAGCTAGCTAGCTAGCCAGCCAGCCAGAGTTCCTTGTTGTTTATTCTTATAATTCTGGCCATCTGATCTTCAGTGTCAGTATCGAGTGAGCGTAGGTGGCAACTTTTGATGAATGTCTGTAGTTTGTTGGAAATGCTCTTCGTCAGCCCCATTCACAGCACTAATTGATATTGTCACTCGGGGTCTGTGTAAACTCTGCGTATAAATGTAAACTTCTTGCCTGCATCAAAGTACACTTTATTCATATGCATATCTTCATTCTTCATCTATGCCTTGATTTTTAATAAACTGTGTCAGTTTGATTATCTGACATAATTGTGGTTTGGCAGACTAGTACTGAAACTGGGTGATGATTGAAAGTGAAATGAAAACCTGGGCCGCAGCGGAAGTCGAACCGGAGACCACCGGGTTTCCTGCCCGGTACACGACCAAATGAACTAGGGGCCAGTAACCCGTTGGTCGCCGGTTCGAATGTTACTATGGCCTGAATTTACATTTCACCTTTAATCATGTGGTTGACTGATAAAATCAGCCTGGAACCTTGCACACAAGTCCATTGGTTCAAGTTGCCACATATTAGAGTAGTATACAAAAACAGGTGGATAGAAAAATGGTGATATTAAAGTAGACAAGGTTGTGTGACAGAATAAACAATCTGAAGATAAAGGTTAGTGTGAATATTCCAGCTTTAGAAGATGTCAAGGAGTGAATACATCTACGCCATTGTGATCGATTCCCAGTTGTGTCAACAAGATTCCTAAACCACTGATTGCTTTCGTCTCGAGGACCCTGCACAGCTGGGACCAACGGTAAAAGACTTGATTGACTGGTTCCATTTCTTGACCTAACCACCCTGAATCCTCTTACAACCAATTCAACTTCTCTGTGTAACATGACATGTCGAGGTAGTTTGTAGATAGACATGGATAGTAGATGTCCAAACTATCTCATAGGACTCAGGTTTACGACCACATTGACCGACTTGCCTATCTTGGCTAGCACTTTTCTTCTAACTTCAACATTGCTCACATGTAGTGATTCCACCAAACGCGAGCAATGCTATCAATTGTCGTGCAGTATCAAGCTATTATATAGCTGTGCACTGTCTATCTACTGATATCGTCTTCCTGACTCATGCATCGCTCTGCTATCGCTGTTTTCTTTTGGGTTGAGAGGCGTAGCGAACCGAATCGCTATTTACAACCGCAGTTTTCTGCATTATTTTGGTTGAAAATAAATATAGACGAAATGTTTAGAAATAATCTAATATCTTATTGATTTCAAGGGTTTTCTTCATACAAAAAATCATTTGAAACCGGACAATACTGAATATCTGTGTCTTCTAGATATGAAACACTTTGATAGTGCACATACGATGACTCTTGTCAGAATTAGAACTGACAGTAATCGATTCCGAAAAGTGCTTTGAAATAAACCACTTCCTTATAAACTACCCAGTCGAATAGTCTATTGTAACCGGTAGATAATAAGTAACTAAATATTTAATTCTCAAATTATGAATTTAACTTGAGTGGAGCTGGTTTACATGCATCAGATTGAGTAACTTTCATGTTTCGAATGGGGTGTAAATTCCGTTTGTTAGAATTAAACAAAATACTTGTGTTCAAATTTGCAAATTAACATGAAATATTCAGTTTAATCTATTTTATTCGAATTCAGTTTGTCTGTTACTATTTTTCTGTATTTATTCAAAACAAAAACTCAAATGAAACTAGTTCACTTCTTAAGTAAATAAGCAAATTTAGTAAAACTTGCTTATCTAGTCAGACAACACTTCAAAGACTTGCACGAATTCGTCGAGCGTTTGTATTCTCAAGCCTAATGTCAATGAATATGCGTAAACATAAACATAAATTATCATTATAATGACATGGTAGACAGCTAGTAAATTGTATATAGTTCGTATTTAAACAAGAGAATATGAATTAACGGAAATTCGTGAGACAAACAAAATAGAGGTTAGAGAATATGGGGCTAAATTGGTTACATGCATTTATACTCTATTTTCGTCGAAATCGTAATGCTAAACATGGTTATTCCCTTGATCAGTGTGAAAAGTTCGACTGCTAGTATCCAGCATGTTGGCATTTAAGCTAAATATGGCATGACTGACATCAGTGGTTATTATTTCGGGAACGGCGTAATGTATTCGTGTAATACGTTTCAAACAATCTGGTTACACACTTGTCCCATATAATTAGTTATATTAAGTATAACAAGGGATAGATAGGTTTGAAGAATAATCAATGTGGCGAAAGGTCAAATTATTATGATTTGCTTGGTGATGGCTAGCAGGGTAATCCAGGATGCGCGGCTCGTCAGCTGGATGTACCTGCAGCCTAGTGATTGACGTTCTCATGAAGACTTGCATGCTGTACTCATCACTTCAGACGCAAGAGCGTTATCCAACAGACCACTGAGTG